CTATTACTAAGGAAGACAAGTTAAGTCTCAATTAATACCCCAAGGATATAAACTTAAAGAAATGAAAATACAGAAAATTCCCTTTGTTTTAGTAGTTGGGAGTTTAATGTATGCTTAGGTTTGCGTACTCTGGATATAGTATTTTATTGTTGGAATGCTGTGCAGATATTTAAGTAACTTTATGATGGATATTTGGGAAGTAGCTAATTAGGTTATTAGGTGTTTATAGAGAACTAAGGATCATATGATCACAATCAAGAAAATCAGACCAATTGGAGATTATTGAATATTTTGATTCTGATTATGGAAAATGACTGCGAAATTTTGGAGCTAGGATGCACATTTTGGATGGAATTGAAAGATTACTTAAGTTATTCTGCGACAATAGTAGTCTTGTATTTCAATAGGAGTTTGAGGATGTCAAAGTTTATAAATATTAAGTTCCTAGTTGTTAAAGAAATAATTCAGAGTGTTCAGACACCTGTGGAATAATTAGGACAAACGCTATAATTGCGAATCTACTTACTGAGAGGCTATCACCCAAGGTCTCTCATGAGCATATTGTTCATATGAGTGTTGCATTTTTTTATGATATGCTAGTTTAGTGGGAGTTTGTATTTGAACGTTGTCTGTTTTGGACAATAATTCTATTAATGGATATTCGGTTTATTTCAGAAATAAACTATTCAATTTAGTTTCAATCTGATTAAAATTTCGATTTCATCCCATAAGGTAGGACCAGTTGAAAATAGGCATGTTCAGATCACATTGCATGTATTTTCCATACTATACATCCACACTTGATTTATGTCATTTGATTGTGCTGATATATGTGACCATTGAGGGTTTAATGATGATAATTGTAACGAAGAACACTTTGATTTTATATTGACATAATTAATGAGCTAGATTATTCGAAGATGCATTTTTGGTTATAATAGCAAAAGTATTGAGCCCATAAAGTTATACACATTTATAAGGTAACATATGTGGTCCAAATGGGAGATTGTTGGGAAATTATTAATTTGTCACACGGATAGACATATGTAATTAATTATGTATAAATGCTATGTTAAAATTAAACTTAAATTTAAAGTGATCTAATAAAGAAGTAATTGGATTTAGAGCATCTAAATAAAGTATGGGCTGAATTATATATGTAGAGACCAGATTCCTTTAGAATTGTATTTCATGATGGACGAAATACATATGGAAACTATATTTGGATTATAATCTCAATTCATATGCAACTTCTCATCCTTTGTTTCATCACTTCAACACAAATTGTAGATAAAGCATATTAAAGAGAAGAATTCAAAACTCAAAATCAAGAACGGACAATCTACAATCAAGATCAAGAATCAAAGAACCCAAGGAGACAAAATTTAAGATTAAAAGCAAGAAACAAATTAAAAAGAAATTTCAAGATTCAAATTCCGGAATCAAGTTCCAATAATAAAGAATCATTACCAATGAATTAAAGTATATTCCGCATAATTAATTTTCTTGGTGATTTGACATGGAGGATCTTGACAATAAAACAATTAGATTTTCATGTTATTAAAATTCAAAGTTTCATAAAATTTCAACAATTCATTTATCTATATTTCATTGCCTTAGTTACATACTTTATATAAAGGTTCCTTGGTGAAGCTGTTTATCTTATTTCACACATAAAAGATGTTTGAAGAGATCCTTGTAATTCGTAGGGACGAGCCGACAGAGTTTTTACACTTAACAGTGAAGCACTAAAATTTTTTGATTTACATTTTTGTTTTTTGAAATTTGTGATTAGATCATTTATTCATAACACTGCCTATTTTGGTTTCTTTTAGATATTAACTTAGGGTCCGTTAGATTACAAAAATGAAATTTGGGTGGAATAAAAATGAATTCCAAGAAATTGAATTGTCTAGAACTTGTTTTTCTGGAAATTGTCAAGTAAATATGTTTGATTTGTATAATTTTTCACCTAAAATATGTTGAAAGTTTGGATCTTTTGGTGTTCTTTTGGCTTTGTTTTCATGAAAATTGTCAATTAAAAGGATATAATTTTTTATAATTGTGGATAAAATTTGTTCTCATTGATGAAAATAAAAAAAATAAAAAATAATTAGAAAAAAGAAAAGCTGGAAACCGATTCATCAAAAATGCACGTGTGTGGGAAAAGATGAAAATGGTTGCTTAGAAAATATCGCAATCAAACAAGCCATTTTTGTGGAAATTAAAAAATATTTTCCATGAAAAATATGGCAAATCAAACATGCCCTTAGAATTGCAAGAACATGATGGAGATGTCTTGTGCTTTGGCTATCCAACTCTTGATTGCTAATCAGATTATATTCCAATTGATTTTCCATAGTAGGTCCATTGAAATGTGTCTAAGAACAGTTCATAAATGGCATTGATAAATATTATAATGTTAGATGCAATCTTATTCACTAAAATTATGTGGCTGAGAGAAGATTTTCAAGGCAAGGTTCAATAAAAAGAAAGCTCGTGGACTTTTCTTCTGTCGCTGCTATTATCTGAATACCTACATTTACAAATACGTTTGAATGTTTTTCTAACAAACACAGTAAGAAGAAGAAAAACTTATTTTGATAGTAAAGTGAAATTTACTTTCAACATGAGTGACGTACTTACGTTTAACTTAGACCAACAGAAATTAATTTTTTTTAAACATTTTTTCATCGTAGTTAATTCCTTATTTTCGGACATGTTTCTTCGCTTAAAATTGCAAGTATACAGTGTCAAGGGCAAGCACTGAAGTGAATTGAGTCCAATGTTGATTATTCAAGAATTGTGTACCTAGTTTTGAATTAAATTAATTTAACTAAACTTTTTGATAACTAGTTTGGAGTTGGTTTAACAAAAATTAGTAAAATAAAGTTCTTTTTAAAATGCCTTCGTGGGTTTTATGGAAAAAAATTGAATTTGTAAAAGCATTAGGACTTTAGTCGATCCATGGTTTTTAGCTTTAATTTTCATAACTGACAAATGCTAACTTGAATCGATGATCAATTCTCCAAATTTATGAATTCTCAAGTAGGTTTTAACATATTTCGACAACTTCCAGTATCTTTATAAAAGTTGGAAATACATAAAAAGCTAAAAACACATTAAAACAATGTACATTTCAAATAAAATCAAGCATATCAGTATATCTCATCCTATTGGACTTCACGATATTTGATAAAAGCATCAAAGCCTATTTTTGACTTCTCCAAATTACATTAGCCACTCCTTGATCAAAAATTTAAAATCTGGTCCATAATCTTGGACATCGGAAGACGTTTCAATAGTTGAAGCCATTTGAAAGGCCTCGTGCCCAACACACGATTGAATCACACATATTCTCCACGCACATATAAAAAAGAAAGAAATGATTTATAACGAAAAAGGAGTAGCAACTTCCCCAAGTTTGCACAATATGGAGACTATTCAATGCACAAGAATATGTAGCAGACGAAATCGCTTCAATTGTCAAAAGCCAATTAGAAGGCCGTGTGCTAACCTCGCAATTGAAGTGCACATATTATCAACACACACAAGCAATATGATGTCATTGCGTCAATAATGACAAAACCACCTAAAATTACACATGCAAATGACGTGACACAACATGACACATTTCAACACCCGATGATCAATAACAAGGCATCATACTGAACACACAGCCATACTACATGTAATCTCGATCCACTTGTCAACGAAATGATGCTAGCAAAAAATAATAATAATAATAATAATTATGTAGGAGGAAAAAGGAAAAAAAAGCAAAGCCAAGTGCCTATTTTCTTAATAATAATAGGGTGAAAATTTTGTGTCTGCCATTTTCAAGATTTATCACCTTGCTTAATTTTATTTTCAACCTTTTTTTTTAATAATTTAATTTTTTTTGTGCTCATCCTCAGAAACAAAATAACAATGATTTAATCTTTTTTCATCAATCCTAGAAGGGTACGTGACAATTTGATGGCATATTATCGTTGAGGAAAACTAGTCGGAAAGGTCGAGGACAAAACTGTAAAATATATAAAGGTTAAGGTCCAACTCTAAACATTTTTCCCAAACGTGCACCTGAATTGGCTTCGTGCATTCTCACCGGAGTCAAACCGCCGTAATGTACACATATACATACATATATACACAAAACATCGCTTTAATTCAGTAAAAAAGAAAAAATTCAATAAATCAAGAAATAACGGAAGAGCTGTAATCAATAATTATTCAATGACGGAAGATAATTGTCGTAGGGTTTCATCCTCAGAATCTACCGATTTTTCAACAACCAAACAAAGGTGCGTTTCATTCCTATTCCATACAGTTTTGTTTGATTTTGCCCCAGGTTTAGTTGGATCTTCGTATCTTCTAATATCTTGAATTTTAAATTTTCTGTGGAACAATGCTTTTGTGTTGCTTCCTCTATTTGTTGTGTCGTCTGTGCAATGATTTCTGGTTTATGGATTATTTATGTTTTATGTTTTCGTTGTATTCATCGATGCTTTTGAGGTTGAACTTGTATAATGCATTTCCTAGATATGATTAATGCAACTAACGATTCTTATTTTCAAATAATTGTTGTGAGAAACTTGGAGAATAAATCAAATTACTTGCGTGATTGTTTTGTTAATGGTTTTGGTATGTCGCCTCTTGGATATAATGTGCCAGAGTTGCAACATTAATAAGAGAAAAAATGGAAAACCTTGTAGTGTTGATGTTCACTCGAGTTAAAGGGACTCAGTTAACTTGCTGCATTTCTCTGTTCGGCATATATTGGATGAAAAAAATATGTTCAGTTTATCGTAAATCAGATTCTTTTTAACTTTTTGGACTGAAATTTGTAGAAAAAAGAGAAAGTGGGATCAGCCAGATGAGTCGTTAGTTTCATCTGGTGTAGCATTACCTGGAACTCTTCAATTGGCAAACCTTGGATCTCTTTCCAGGATATCTTTGCCTCTTGTCTCCCCAGCATCAGATGCATCTATCGTAAATCCTTTTTCAACTACTGGCGCCTCCATACAGCAAGTACTTCAAGTGCCTCTACAGCAGCATGCTGCTGCCATTGTCCAAAAGTTTGTTCAAGTAAAGATGAAAATCCTGTTTTCTTTATCAGTTTTTCCCACGATCTTGTTTATATGGGCTTTCTGTGTTTAAGATATGTATTTTTAAATGTAAAGTATTCTTCAGTCTTCACTAATATCCCAGAATTTTTCGTATCTTACTTTCTTGCTTCTTGGTTTTCGAAGAAAATTTTTAATTGTAGTCCACTTTATTTTTTTCTATCTATACCTTCTTTTCTTCAAGGTGACAAGGTTCAGGTATCAAAATCATGTCATACCTTTTTCTCCACATGTTTATGGTGTCTCAAGTTATAATTTGTGTTGCATTTCATATGCATATTACTAGTTAAATATTCCAGATTGCGGACATTTTCTTGTGTTGAGTTTATTTCTTTGTTTATTTTGTTCTGAAGCATATATTGTTTATTATTAACTTTTGTATAATTAAATTTTTTCGTTTGTAGCCTAAAATTCAAGATGAGTTGATAGCTAGAGAAATTGTCATAAATGATGCTGATTCTGCTGTTCGCTATAAGCTAACAAAACGTCAAACACAGGAAGAGGTTTGTTTGGCCTTTTGACATATGTTTTAGATGGTAGTTGAGAAGTACAATTCCTATTGTTTTGATTTTAGATTGATGTAGATGGCTATTTGCTATTAGTTGGTGTTGATAATTGATAAGTTCCTATATTCCGCAGATTCAGAAGTGCACAGGTGCTATAGTCATAACTCGGTAAGTAAGGGCTGTAGATAATGTCTTCAAGGCTTTTACTTATTGTTTTTATTTCTTGTTCATAAGAAGCATATGTTAATGCATTTGCAGGGGAAGGTATCGGCCTCCAAATGCACAGCCTGATGGTGAAAGACCTCTATATCTACACATTTCTGCTGGGGCACATGTAAGTGTCTTTGTAATAATTTTTGCTGGAGATATGTTTAAAGGAGAAAATAATTCAGAAGAACTTTTGATTCTTGGTTGCAGGAAATATTCTTTTGTGTAGTGTTGATGAGTCTGATTTGGTTAGTTTTTTGGTATTAGTGAAGAAGCTTGATATATGATATGATATAGTGAAATTATTTGATCAAGTTATCTAATGAGCTATGCTTCCTGAATCTATATAGTTCCAAATTATTATTATGATATAGTCTCCCTCCCTCCTTCCTTACTGTTTAATTGTTACTGTCTGTTCAAAGATGCAGTAACTATTTAGTTCGATAATTTTCTTCACCTATCTTTGATTGTTGCAAATGTTTATTTACTCTTGGCTTTGTGTTTTATTCCCCCAAATACTACTATTTTTCTTTTATTATTATTATTATTATTATTTTATTTTTTATTCTTTTGCTTCAGTAGGAGACAACAGCAGAACGAATTAAAGCAGTTGATCATGCAGCTGCTATGGTGGAAGAAATTTTGGATCAGGGTTCTGTGAACAATGGGGTAAAGGTATTACTGAATACAGAGCACTACTTTAGCTGCAAAATTGTAATAAGAAACACTGATGGTCATCAAATTTTGTGCGGAATTTCAGTTTTGGTTATTCAATTTCTTTTTTTGGTTCCAAACTCGACCCACGTTTAAAATTTATTTGAGTTTGGTTACCACTAATGGAATTGTAATTGGTGACCAAAAGTAAAAGAAATTTAAACTCTGGTTGAGCTTGGAAAACAAAAAGAGTGGAGTTAGTAAAATGAAACTTCTGTTATAGTTGGTTGACCTCTAGTGTTTTTCACCATCAAAACTGGGAATATGTCACACCAATTTGATGTTGTCTTTACTGCAGGTTAATCCCTTATTGACTGCCTGTGTGTTTTTGGGCTTTGAGGCAGACCCATCCTTGGATATTTCTTCTCGTATACGTGGTCCAAATGTGAGCTTCTCCTTACTGTACTGTACCTTTCTTTGCCACATCTTCCGTTTTTCTATGTTTTTTGGTGTACACATTATCTTTTTAAATTTTTATTGGCTGCGGGGTTCTTTGGCTGGTGGGTAGATTTCCTCAGATTATTTAGGATTTGGAAGAACTGTTAAAAGAGTTGAACATGAGATCTTTACAACATACACCCAAGTAGGTTATTTGACTGCATTTTTCCCTCTCTCTCTCTTCGTCCGCATTTTTTCATTTTCTCCTTTCTTTAGTTTTCTCAAGGTCATATCCATGGGTTATATGGCACTCCTTGCTACATTTTGTCACGGTGAGAACCTCAGCTGGAGCTGCTCTTCTACCACAACCAGATTCAACTATGGTTCAGCTGAACCAGTAACCAATTTCAGAACAAAAAGAATTGGGGGACGAATTCTTTTCATCTAGCCTTGGTTTTTTCCCACTTAAATTCTTTATTCCATTGTTCAATAGGAAGCAAAAAGAGAAATGATTATTTGGGAGGAAGCCATTTCAAATTCAACATAGCATTCTTTATCTTAGACACCCCTATTTATAGATTTTTATACACGCATTACACGTAAATGGGTCTTTTTAATTAGTAATACGTGACAGTCATTGATTGATTGATTGATTTCTATCTAATTATGTTTTCTATCCATGTTTTATTCATCAACTTAGCATCCTTCTTTTTTTGGTTATGAAGTTATGCTTTTTATTTGTAATAGAAACGGAGAAAAAAAAGAAAGGAAAGGGGGGGGGGGGGGGGGGGGGGGGGGGGGATTTAAATGACAAAAGTAAGAACCAAATGAGGAAGGAATTGAATGGGGATCTCCAACTGATAACTGAATTTGCAGATAAAAATGACAGGCAGCACTCCTTCGCACATGCTTATATACTCAATCATGGAGAAAGTCGCATTTCACAAAAGAAAATAAAGAAATGTTTCTAATTAACACATTTATTAAAACGACACCATTTTCACTAAATCAAGATGACACCGTTTATGATTTTGAAAATTGATTACAGCACTGGTTTTCGTCCTTTCCTTTGCACTGGTTTTCTTCTTTCCTTGCACTGGTTTTCTTCCTTTCCTTTGCTGTTCTTTTCCCTTCCTTTCTCCTGCTTCTGCTCCTTCCTACCCATGACACATTGGTAGTAGTATTCTTAACTTGCCATGCGTCACATATCTTCTGTAGAATTTGCAAATGTTAGGACTGTAATTCCTGAGTATGAATGAAATATAGCTCCTGAAGTCTAAGTTACACTATGAGGCTTCCAAGTTATGGAGATTTGGTATTCAATTATCCTAAAATGATTTTTTTCCCTTCTTTAGGATCAAGTATGTCTATCTAAGCGAGCATATGTATCATAAATTTGACTTTGGCTTCTTTTCTTCTGTTCACTTATTCTGTTCGCAAAATTTTTTTACATCTCTGAAAAGTGGTCAGTCGAACTTTTTACCTTGGTTATGCCCATCACTTTATCTTTATTAGCAGCGTAATATTAAAAGCATGTTTAGGAAGCGTTTATAAATGTATTAAATTATAATACATAAAAATAAGTGGTGGATAAGTGGGTAGTACTTGTGGGTTCATCGAAATGGGTGATGAAAAGTTATTGCAGTGTTTGTAACTCATGAGCCAAACATAGGCAAAAACTCAAACCAAATGATTCCATAAGATAAACTTTCAACACTATTTTATATCTTAATTGAAAAAGTGGACCTTTCTTGGGTATGGTAATGGTCTCATGCTTTTCATTTCAATAGTTCATGCCACCTTTCTATACATTGATCTTAAATTGTTCAGCAATAGCTTATATCCTGTTTTCCATCTTTAAGAATGCATGATGCTGGTTGATGACTTAATATTAGTATTTCATATTTATTTTTATGATAATATGAAATCCTAATGTTTGAAGCTTTCTCTGACATCTCCATACAACTCGGAGAGATTCTTTTCTGTTGCTGCTGGTTGGCTTTTCTAAATGCAGGACCAGTATGTTAACCATATTATGAGTGAAACGGGAGCAACTGTCTTACTAAGAGGACGTCGTTCTGGGAATTCTGAAAATGCACTGGGCGAAGGTCGTTTTTGTCGTGTATCACATTTGAATTGTGCTATTTAGATGTCCTGATCGCTGTTAATATTTCTATTGCGTCTGCTCTACTTGCAGAAGCACCGCAGCCGCTGCATTTGTTGTTGTCAAGCAATGATCCAATTGGTCTTGAACGTGCGAAACTTCTGGCTGAAAATCTTTTGGACACAATAAGCGCTGAATGCGGTGCCTCTAGGTAATGAGATTTGTTTATATGATGCATAAAAAGAATAAATAGATGTGAAAAATGATCACAGAAGGAAAGAAACTTGCACGCATCTATTCCATGGCATCCCGTTCTCGTAACAGGTACAAGGTGGGCATTAGCTGTTAGCTTTTGCTGGATATACGCAAATATGTTCATATTATGTTGTTTATAACTTTAAAATCTACAAGGTGAGTGTTCTAGTGGGCCTTGTTTTATGAATCCCTAATCCATCTTTCACTCCACGAATAACTTAAACATCAAATAAATTATAAAGTGATGATGCTAATCGATCAAAATATCAAAAAAAATATGGTGTCCATTTGGGATGAAAGAATTTTGAGAGAAACATTGGGCACATATATACAATGACATTTTTGATCCATCTAGGATCACTTTTTTTTATTATATTTTCCATGAGAAGAATGGATGTGGATCTCTTTTATTCTTTGTTTTTTTCAGAAGAAATAAAAAAATTACCACTTTTTCCATGCTTGAATCCCCTCAATCTGCCACTTGTGCATCTTTATGAGCTCGGTGTCTGGTATCTTTTAGATCCCAAGCTATTTCTTACACCACAGGATAACTTGTGGGATCTTGCATATCTGTATTTACAGGGCTTCTTCATGTAAAGTGTATGTTGCTGTCCCACCTCCACCTCAGTTGTTAGGCGAAGTCCAAAATTCTGGGAATGAGTCAGTTGTGAAAGAATGTGTTTCTTCCAGTTTGACTTCCTCAGGTGGCATGACTGGTGATGTTTCTCATGGAGCAGGATTGCAATCTATGGGTTTGTTGAATCCTGGAATGCCTCAGGCAAGCACTGTTTGCCATTCACATTCTTCATTGATTGGTGGAACAAGCTATATTGGTTATGAAGGGATATATCCACAAGCTACACCTTTGCAACAAGTTGCCTTAGCCCTTAGGCAGTCAACTTCTTCTGTTACTGCTACAGTTGATCCTGCAGCAAAAGCATCAAGTGCAAAATCACCTACAACGGTGGTCCCCTCTGAGGAGAAGCGCCCCCCTCAGAGACGAAAGTTTCAGGAATTATCAGCTGCTGCAAAAGGGCCAGCGACTACCCACCAGGTATCAGCGATTACTGCGATTGAAACTAGTCGAAGTTTTCACTTCTTTAGGGAGCCTGGGGGTGAAGATGTTTCCTTTGCCTTCTTATGACTAGCAGTCTAGCACTAGGTGTTCTATTTCAAACAATTTTTTTTATTTTTTGTTTTTTTATTTTTATTTTTACCTGTCAATTATACCCTGATATTAGCATTGGGGTTGAATATCTTCAAGCATGTAGTTCTAGAGTTCTGATATTAGAGGAGCCTTACTAGAATTTTAAGAGGATTTTATTGCTTTAATTTTCTTCTCATAGTCTACTGAATGAACTTACAAGGTAGTTAAACTATCCCTGTGGACTACTCTTTAAGACTTTGGGATAAGTTTGAGTAACTTAATCCCTGGTGAAAGTTGATAACTTGATATCAAATGGCTAGAAGTTGAATTTTCATTTGGTTCAAGGCACAAGCCTTTAATCTAAAATGCTTACCAAAGCACTTTTTTGGGTCCCTTTATAGATTGGGTTTTACTACCCTTTTGCTTTCATGTTAAATTTTTGAATAAGCCATAATGTCTCCTATAAAATATATTCAAACAAGCCTTCTGTTTAACTGGTTGGGCAGAAAAAGAGGTACTTGTCTCTCTGTTATCCTATGTTACGAATATTCTAAGTTTGTGTCATGGTAAATGCATTACATTCTCTCAAATAGACTTTAGTGGAACTGGTTGCCGGGTATTTAATTTCATATTAAGGCTAAGTGCCTACTTGACTACGAAGTTGTTTAGGGAAATCACTGAAGTGTCGTACAGGCAGCGAAGCTAACATTGATAATCTTTTCTTGGTTCCCATATAGATGTTCTGGGATTAAATTGTTAATAAACAGCTGCGACCTTCCTGTTGGATGAGATGGTTTCATGATTTAGTGACTACATTGAAAATAGTAGATAAAGTCTGCAACTTCCTCTCTCTCTCTCTCTCCCCCCCCTTTTTTTTTGTCATGCACATTTATTGCATCTTGAGTATTTTATTGAAATGCAATAAGATATAGCCGATGTTTGGCCCCTATTTTTCCAAAAAATTATTTCAAAACTTATTTTCAACCATATATTCTCCTATAAAATAATTTTACACGCAAATCCAAAATTTTTCCTTACATTTTAACCACACATTCTCCAACAAAACACTATTCTAAAATGTATTTTTGGCTATAAAATGGGGCTCAAAGAAGGGCATAATCTGTCATTATATTGTTGGTGCTGGTTCATTCGCACTACATAACATTTTCATCCATCATGCTTCGAACATAAAATAGGTTATGTTGATTTATCCCTCTTTAATTCGCAAGTCGATGTACATATATGATTTTCTGCAGTAGGTGTGCATTTAATCATAATTTTATCCCTCTTTAATTTGCAAGTTTGTATATATATGATACTTTGCAGTAGGTGTGCATTTAATCACTCCTACAGAATCCTTTATAAGCTTTGTCAATCTAAATTGATAATTTTTTTCCCTTTATTATTAATAAATGAATTGCATTGTTATTTCTGTCCTGATGTCTATTACTTCTTATTCCAGGTATTTTCTCTGACCTTGTATGAAGCTTACAGGCCGATATTCACAGGGTTTTCTGACATGGAAGTGGCATGGGATGGCCATGCGTTGATCTGTGATGTGTCTCATGTAATGCACCCGAGCACCTGTTTCTGCTTTAGTAGTTTCCAACTGCCAATCTGCTGTCAAAAGTCACGTCTTTCTACGTTTCTATTTTTCCACCTGCTACCCTTTCTTTTCCATTGACGTTTGGATGCTAGAAATTATATATGAGCCATGAATGGCAGATGAAATAACCCTTAACATATTGTGCGTAGTCCACATTGTCTATAGAACGAGTCCAAGGTTCTATTTATCATTGCAATTTCTGTACCATATCATAATCTGAGTATCTTCACCCCACATATACATGTATTTTGCTTATATCTCAGATGCAGCACTTCTGATGAAGATTTGCAAAGGTTTTATAAAGTTTTTCTTTTCCAGACATCATTTATGACGCCATATTATCTTCTAACATTGTGAGATTTGTTAAATGTTTTCCCAGAATAAATTACAGGGATCAGAATTTCAAATGCCACGTGAACTAACATCACATGTAGGTGCAAGAGATGTGCCAACTATGGCAGCTCCAAGGAAGTTGATCTGCTCATCACCTGATGTAATTCCACCACCCCCTCCCAGGAGGATGCCGCCACCCCCTCCCAAGAGCATGCCTCCACCGCCTCCGCCACCAAAGTTTAATTCAACTCCTGAAGTTCGTGAGAACAACAGCATGCTGCATAAATCAAAACCTGAAGCCATCCCTGGTACTTCCACTCTTGCCTCTATATTGTTTCTATTAAAAAAATTGACGTGGCTTCTCATGCATATATTGGGAAAGTTCCACTAGTCTTAACATTTCTCTTCCCATGCTTTTGATATCTAAGACTAGCAGAAGAAATCAGCTGTGCCTTTATCTGTTCATTTAATATACTTCTGTGCTTATTGGGGCCAGATACTTTAATCAAGCTAATGGAATATGGAGATGACGATGATGACCTCGAGGAAACCATTGAAGAGCCCTCTAAAAGCCTTTCAAGTGCACCGGCAGCTCCTAAACCTTTCTGGGCTGTCTGAAATATGGTTTGCCCTTTTGTCATGCACTGGTACTGACTCGCATTAAAAGTTCATTTTCTTCATCTCGAGCTTTAACAGCTGGGAATGTAATATTTGTGGAAGGATAAATCATCTGTGGCTGATTTTTTATTTATAACTATCTGATCTCCTTCAATTGAAATAGCCAGGGAGTTAATTTTTGACCCCTAATGGTATTGGCTGCTGAAGCGTCAGGGAGGATATGTTACAATGTGTACATTTTCTAGTCATAAGTTGTTTTGGTCTGTCTCAGCAATTGCCTGACGGCTTTACTTGTGAATTTCTTTTTTTCTCGCTCCCAAGTGATAATCAGGTATACCAAACCAAACCGAGAAGCATAGAAGAATAAAACATCAAATTGCTGCATCTTCCCAGCGTTTCTTTGCGCAATTGATTATTGCAATTCACTAAAAACTTTGAGAGCTCAATAATGATATTTTGCACGTAATTTTTTCTCTTGTAGCTTTTCAAGTTGAATTACCCGTTCTGTAATATTATTCTTATAATGCATTACGCAGTTGATGTGATCCAAGGGGCACAAAATTTTCGTATTCTTGTGAGACTTATATTTTAGTTAGGATTCTTAATTTTTGATAATTTCTATATTCTCAGGAGTTCTATTTTGTTTAGAATTCTTAATTTTGGTAACTTTTATATTTTTAGAGTTTTATTCCTTTTCAAACTACTTTCTAGGTTTTGTTATAAATTGGTTATTTATTTTCCATTGATTATTGATGAAAAATAGAGATTTCTCTCTCGAGGCCTGAAGCTTCTAAATTACTGTTCTGGATAGGAGAAACCAAACTTATCAAGAATTAATATTCTTGATAAGTTCAAAAGCGGGGTTGTGATTTTATAATTATTTGTAATAAAAAAGTTGGCATGTCCATGTGATTGTGTTGGTTGTTTGGTTCGTAATTATTGGGTCTGATCCACAAAATTGGGTAAGATTCATCGTGTTGCGTAATCAAGTGGTCCTTCGTTGGGTTGTTTGGTTCTATTATTGTGGGTTGAGTCTAAAATCTTGTTTTTGGCTTTCTTGGTATTCGGTTCAATATCATGTATGTTCCGTAGTGTTCGTTGTTACGCGGGTTCGCATAATTTGGTATCATAGTTTAGGCACCAAAATCAAGGTTATATACTTTTCTTTTTGTTTCGTCGAGTATTTGTTTTCGTTTTTCAGTGTTATTTTGGTGTTCTTCGAGTCTTTTGTTGTTTAGAGTCTTTGATCAAGAAAAATCTAAAAAATAAAAAATAAATTCAAAAGTTGTTTTTGGATTTAATTTGCGTCCAAATCAACTTCCATTTGTTGTGTTAGTGTTGTAGTTAAATTCTTTATATCAAGAGTAAAAATAAATAAATAAATAAAATAAAAAATTGTTCACGGTACTGTTCATCCGTATCGTCTACTGTTCATGGGATATTTAGAAAACAAAAATTTGCCGAAGAGAAAAAAAGAAGGAATTTCTGAGTAATCATTTGAATCAAATTCTATTTTTGTCAGGTCAACTTCCAATTCAAGGAATACTTTCTTGAATTTATAAAAGTTTTAATCAAAGTAGTCTACTTTAAATTCTTTTTGAGTCCTTAAGTCACACTATCCAATTGGATTTCAATTCAAAATGTTCGGAAGGTCATTTTGATGGTTGGAGAGAATGTTGGAGGATATAGGGGATAGGATGGAGAGAATTGAAGGGCGATATAGAAATTTGGTTGGAAACGGTGTTGATGGGAGATTGGGACATGAAAGGATGACAATTCCACAATTTAATGGTAGGAACGACCTCGAGGCACACATGGCATGGAAGAACGGGTAAAATTAGTGTTTGATTGCCATCATTACTCCAGGGAGAGAAATTTAAAGTTAGCTGCGTTTGTAGATTATGCAATTACTTGGTGGGAGCAGTTAACAAAATCTAAGCGGAGGAACGGAGAGAGGCGTATTGAAACTTGGGATGAATTGAGGACTATAATGAGGAAGCGATATGCGCCTAATTATTTTTATAAGCGGGTGAGCGGGAATCTAGACAGGAGCCTAGAAGATATAGTGGAATTGGGTATTCAAGGGAAGAGAAAACATCGTTTGTGAAGCATGTTGATCATACATTTAGTAGGAGGACTAGGTTGGATTATGAGCGTGAACCCTCAGAGATTCGTGACCTGATTAACTCTCAGAAAACTCACATGGAGGAACAAAAGGGTATATTGGGTATTCAAGGGAAGAGAAAACATCGTTTGTGAAGCATGTTGATCATACATTTAGTAGGAGGACTAGGTTGGATTATGAGCGTGAACCCTCAGAGATTCGTGACCTTTTTTTTTTTTTTTTTTTTTTAAATACCTGTCTCACGACAAGGGTTAATCTTAAATGCTAAACGCCATTGACTTAATTGCTGGTTCATCAAGACCTGTCATTTCCCTGCACCGATCCCAGCGAATAAAATGAAATTAGTCACCATCTCTCTTACACACACTTGATAGATTATCAAATCAGATGGGTGAACTTAGCCCATTTGAACTTTTGCTTCTGCTCATTGAAGCGTTTTCTCAAGAGGTCATCTTTAAGTCAACATCCTCTAAAAATTCTTCTAATTATATAAAATATTTTCATAAAATTATCCAAACATGTTCAATAACAGTAGTCTTACAAGTAGTTCAACTTTTCAAAAGCCACGTCAAAAGGATCCTAAATCTATTTTCTTCCCCATTTCCTTTTTGGCACGAGGCACGGGGATTATCAACTTCCAAAGCTTTACAAAATTCTGGAGCACAGAAACCGGAGGCATATGCAGTTGTTTTTTTCGCCCTCTAATGCCCACCTTTCTCTCTAATAAAAAGATGCATATGCAATGCAATACATTTATTAACTGGTTAGATCCACATGTAAAAACAACCGTCACATTAAAACCACAAAACTGAAAGCAGAAAGTATAAAAATCTGTTCGCTTGTGGAGGATGCTCCTATAATAATATTGTTTACTGGAGGGGTATTTGAAAGGATTCAGCTCCTGGTGTTGGCATAATCATTCGGCTCCTCATTCTCATTCTCAATCCTGTCGTTTGCATCCATATCATCACCAAAATCAGTAATTTCAGTTCCAGTTCCACTTTGGTTTCCACCAACCTGTTCTTGAACATCGCTGTATGTCCCAGGTGTTCCACCATATCCCGGTGAGGAAAAGCCACTTTCACCACCATACCCACCACCACCTCCACTGGGGTAATTGTTACTGCCACCAAATCCTCCATCTCCACTGGGATAGCTGCTACCGCCACCAAATCCTCCTCCTCCAGTGGGGTAATTGTTACCCCCATACCCACCACCCCCTCCACCAAAGTTTCCATCTGCTCTTGGGTAATTGCCACCACCACCACCACCAAAATTGCCACCTTGATACCCTCCAGAGCCCCCATAGTTACCACCATAGTTAAATCCACCGCCTGCACCAAATCCACCCCCAAAACCCCCACCCCGAGATCTTTCTGTTGCATAATTCACCCTTATCCTACGACCTTGAAGTTCCTGATAAATAGCATGAAATATTAGATGTTAAAAGTCACAAAAACAATTTATGGATCTAAAAATTTCAACTCATGCAATAGGAAGCAAGTTCAAGTATACTGGTCTCAGAGAAAGTTTAACATTCTTGCCATTAAAATTATAACCAACACCACATCTAGTTTTGTTTGGTCAGATTGACTTACTGGCAAAGATACCTTCAAGGTAGAGGAAGTGCTTCCCAATTTTTGTATATTAGTCTAATTTCATTCCAAATTTTTATTCCTTTAAGTAGATGCTTTAGAAAACACGCTTGTAATGTTACCGTTCATACAAGTATGTTATCAAGGTATTGGACTATACCTGTCTGGGTTGCAAGACACCTGATAATCTAGGTATAAATGTTCGCATATGCTCATTCACAAATATTTCTACGGGGATAAATTAACTCTCTAAAGATGAAAATGATCCTTATATAAGATCAAATCTTGAATAATGACTCCTTTCGTTAGTAGAGATAACATATACGTTAAAATCCATCTAAAGAGATTTCACTTCTGCGGAATGTCAAAACAGCATTTTGTTAAAGAGCTCATGCAATAGTGGGAGATGCATCCCAATTCAACTATTGTAAAATATGCCAAAATTGCACTAATGTAAGTACCTGGCCATCTAGTTCCTGGATGGCACTGGATGCCTCGTCAGTTGATGTATAGGTCACAAAGCCAAATCCCCGGGACCTACCGGTCTCACGATCCATGATTATTCTAGCTGCAACAAACATATATTGAAGGATAGAGGTTTAATTTATCAGAAACATCACCATCTATGACAGCTGCAGAATCACCGTGGTTAAAAGAAGGTATTGATATTAATTCTAGCATTATTTTTTGTTAATTAAAGCGAGAAAAGAGCATATCCTATTTATACGAACAACCTCAAATCAACTGATGATGAAAAGACGAGCTTGTCATTTTCAAAAATCTTTCATCAAATTGCTGTGATCATTCTAACTCTATCGACACCAATAGACAGTTAGATATGCAGCAAAACTTGATATAACATTTACAAATGACCAGTGAAAATCTAGTAAATTGGCATTCAACAGTATATGCATAATTTTTTAACACAGATGAAGTTAATTCTCACCAAGATACCGTCTACTGTATCAATCTGTAGCATTGAAGCAATCAAAATACCAAACATGTAAAATCAACATAAAATTCAAAATTTTGTCAATTGTACAGATACAGCAGGTACCTTCTACCACTTCACCACATCCAGCGAATGCCTCCCTCAAACTCATTTCATCCATATTATAGGAGAGACCTGCAATATAAAACAAGAATAAGTAACAATAAGCAAAAAAATAAGCAATCGGCATGAAAGTAAAAGGCAGAAAGCTTGCACCTCCAACGAATAGCTTGGAAGATGACATGTTTCTTATTGCCTGGAAAAATACTGGATTGGAGGCTGATACTTCCAACTGAACATGCTTGCTCAAAGTATTTTTTAGCACACTGCCAATTCTGTTGACAAAAGCCATTTTTGTACCTAAAAAATAATAAAACCAGACTTAATTGCAATTGTTCCTCACAAAGAAGACAAGAATGCAATGAATATCCTCATCAGTAAAGTTCATACATGACTGTTAATGAAAATATTATAGCACACAAATTTTCAAAGAACAAACCGATGCCATTCTTCATTCATACACTGTGAGCAATTGAATGTACACACAAATGAAGAATGAAAACCGTAAGACCACTGTAACTTGCTAATTTTTTATTCATTATCCCATGTTCAACCAAGTTCAAAGCTCCATTCCATTTCCTCAACTACCCTTAAAAAATAGAAAGACAAAATAATTTTTTAAGAGTCGAAGGAAAGTAAAACACAAAACCTCTAAACCTAAATTTATCTGACAACATGCAAGCCTTAATAAGAAAAATCCCATAAAACCTTGCTGTATCACATCACAAAGCCCAGGCCCTTTTTCATCGATTCCCTATCCTCACTTAATTCTTCACCCACTAAACTTTAAAAAACAAATCAAAATAAAAAAACCTCTCCCTTACACTGAAGGTACAAGCATACAGATTCAACTTCACATAATAGTTTCACATTTAGCCATAAACCCCAAACCCTAGTCTCGAAGTCATAACACTCACTGGCAACGACAAAGATTGGAACTAAAATATATACAACTAGATCTTGATCTATTCTTAACAAAGCACAAACAGGATATTGAGGGCAGAGCGATTAGGGTTTCTACAAGAAAATAAAAAAGAATTATGAATTGCACCTTCTAAATGAAAGATAGATACTGTACACCTTCTCTCTCCGCTTTCACTAATACAAAGGAATTATGAATCGCACCTTCTAAACGAAAGATGTTTTGACTAGTCATTCAAAGTTTTGAGGGAGCTGACCGTCTGATTGGAATGAAATGGGTTTGGACCGTGGATTCGCACAGTACGGTCAAAGAAATGCTAAGAGTAATTTTAAGAGATTCCTTATTTGATCTATTTTTATTTTCAAAATAAATATTTTTTTCACATATTTTCAATCGCAAATTCTTCAACAAAACAATATTACACGTAATCCAAAAAATTTTTCTTCATTATTGACCACACATTTTATCAATCTACTATTATAAAATGCACTCTAGGCTAAAAATGGGTCTCAAATAGGACATTATATTACACATATTTTATACACCTAGTTTGATTGCTGTAGATATCAATGGACAGACACATGCTATTGTACAAAAGAGTAATGCTACACGTGCATCAAGGTATCCATAACGATGTCCACTCTCTCACATGGAGAGAGATCCACTTAGAATAAAATTTAATTTATTCAAAGTAAATGTCTCTCAATTTGAGGAGGGTGGACATAGATTATGTACAAGTAGCAAATTTATGTACGAAATGAATGTGCAAATAATTTCAATTTTTATATTATTGTTTACTAAAAAAGCGTGCCAAGGCAATTGTGCAAGGGCTGGATAAAATATTTTGTCTTGACAGTAAACACGAATTAAGCAATCGACTGTTAAGTTGATCACTTAACGTTTACTTGCGTGACTAAGAGCGCTTTATTGATCTTTAAAAGAACTTTTATTTGAATTTAGTTTATTAATTTTTTTCCTTTTTAATTTTTTTAAAATTTTAAATGAATTTATCCGTGCAAAGTAAAAAATGATTTTATCAGATAAAGATTTATATGAGGTTTAAACTACGGTGCTATCTATATTATACAATTATTATTTTGAGACTTATTAATTTGTTGGAAAACTTTGAAAGTATGTGTGAAGTTCTTGTAAATTTGTTAAGTAGAATTTGTCTAGCTGAAAGTTAAAAATATGAAAAATAGTATAGTTTTTATATTTTGAAAATTTGAAAATTGTACAATTGACTGCTACAGGAGAATCAGGAACGGAGAGCTTTCCCCCCGACTCTTTGGTCTTAGTTGTAAGAATATAAAAAAATGTGTGATTAAAAAATAAGAAAAAAATTTCATTTATGTGTAAAATTATTGTATGGTAGAATGTGTGGTTAAAAATGAGTTTTGGAAAAATTTGGACATTGTATTTTATAATTTTAGATATTTGGCATATATTATATTAATTATTAAATTATTTTTAGATTATTAATTATTTAAATAATAATAAAAATAAGTAACCTTTTTTTTTTTTTTTTTTTTTTTTTTTTTTTTCAACGTTTTCCA